TCGTGAATCAAATTACACATAATATATATCATAAATACGCTGACAATAAGGAGTTAACACACATCATTGAGAAGAGTGTTGCATTAATTTCCGACTTTTCGTTATGAATTTGAACTATTTTTCCGAACGTTAAAGGGTGAAAGAATAAAAAAAAACTGTCCCAATAAATGTTTTCAGCCCATTTGATGTTTCACCATTTTTATTGTTTTTACAAATCAGTAAATGACAGAAAAGAAACTTTTTTGCCAAAGTAAAAAATGATTTCCACAAAATGATGACAAACATAGTTAACATAAAATAAGCATAAATGATCATTTAGTAGATAAACCTTTGACTAAAGTCACATCACAGAGTCTGTGTGGATCGGTCTCAGTCAGGCTTGAACTTCTGAATGCTGCAGTTTTTCTCCATTCGTCTTTGCAGTAATTTTGATGTGTTTTTGGGATCATTGCTCTCCAGGATCACCCAACCATTTTCAGATTTCAACAATTTGACCCAGACTGCTCCCATCAATTGAAATTAAATTGTTTTGGATGTTCAAGAAAAAAGAAGCCCTAAACTCAAGATACACCAGTTTTATTGTTCATAGCAAACTGCGGTGACCAAGAAAGAAGCATTTCATAAATTACATTTTAAAGCTGAGGTTTTCAGACCTCAGAACACTACATCAACTGTACAGCATGGTGATGGTAGTATCATGCTGATGGCCTGTCTTGACGCTGGTGCAAAGTAAATTGAGTTGAAACTGAAACAAAGTCGGCAGTAATCGATTCATTTGTCACATAAAAAGGAATAAAACATGCTTAAGGAGATTTCAAAGTTGCACAATTAAACAGAAACACCTCCTTAAGTCAGACTTAATTGACTTAATTTTACTGAAATCTTCCCAGTAGGAGATACATGCACATCTATTTGTGAACAAATTTCTTATTGCTTAAATGCATAAAATGCAGAAACATACAGCATGCATTTAGGTGGGTTTACAGATAGGATCTTCCTGGCCATTGAGTACAAAATTAGACAATTCAATTGGTTTTCTGGCTTGCAGCTAGACCTGGCTATGTTGGATTTGATGTTAATGCCAGATTCATGTTCTCACTCTGAATGGAGCATAATGAATTAGTAGCAATTTCTGTCTTACTGTCATCTGCTTAAAATCTTGCTCAATTTGATCTCATAAATACCAATCGCTCACCTGACTAAAGCCAAAAACTCTCGTCACCAGATGTACTTGTACCCAGTGTGCTAGTGATAGTGAGCTTCTTTAAAAGAGTGAAACTCAAATATTACTAAGAATATATAAATTTGAATCTTTTTGGAGTTGAGAAAATCCACTTCAAAGTTGTGCAGCCGGTTCTGGTCTTTACATTTATTTATGTATCTTTTGTCCCAATAAAGAATAGAAAAAGAAAGAAAAAGAATGGTCAAATACAACATAATTGCATCAATTAAAGTCCCACATTAATGACAATCACTCTTTTCATGAGGCTTTGTAAACTTTGTGTGTTATTTCACAAGACCTTCTGACTTGAACAAGGATTTTATTTTTATAGATATACATTTTAACGAAGACATGCATTTCTCCCTCTGGCTGTCAGGTTTCTATCGGGGTTTTTTCTATCTCTGACGCCTTTTCACACATTTGTTTTAAGGTTCATTCAGTGCTTTCCTCTCTGAGGGCAGCGGCCAACCCAAACAGATGATGTTGAACGGCTTCACTTCACTGCAGTCGGGTTTTCCAGAAGACTTCACACTGTCAACAATGTCAGCAGCAGACTGCTCATAGGCATGTACATCTTTTAGAGGCTCTCCTTGACAGATCATCCTAGATAGACACTTCGTGTTCCCGCTTCAGCCGTTTTTTCTCCAGGTTTTTATTTTTTTCATTTCTGTTTTCCCTTTTGCAGAATTAAACTTCTCACCCGTCATCATGGATTTCATTCTCTGTCAGAAACCCAGAAATATAGACTATTTTTTCTCTCTGCCATTATTTCCTTCCTCATTATGTACCTTTTTGTTTTCTGTCTGAAAACATACAAACTCAGCTTGTCCACAGCAAACAGAGGCAATATCCTATCAAGGGTACAGTTTTCACCAGTATTAATATGTAAAGCAGAAGGAAGGAGGAACTGGTGTCACAGCATTCTGTACTATTCTAGTCAGGGGTGGAATTGCTATAGATTTTCGGAGGCTGATGGAAGTGGGACATGCTGAGGAGAGGATGAGGGGTATGAGGAGCCATCCCGACTGTCAGATCAGTCCTTTCCCCCCCTGAGGGCTCTCCTGTTGAAGGGCCAATATACTTACTGCTGTAAAAGATAAGAAACCCCAGACCTCTTGGACTAAAGCACCCCCCCCTAAATAATCTTTCTCTGCAGTGCATATATTGTTCTGTTTGGCACACCTGCACATGTTTCAAGCTTTCGCTATTTAGGTGGTCATCTCATGATGATGTCTGTGAAACTCAAGGTTGCCAGGTGTCCCAGCTCCCTTGTGTTTGTAAATTAGTGCACTTGAATCCCTGCCTGTCCATGTCGATCTTCATTTTCAACTTGATATACAGTGGCTCTCAGTGCACTGCCACGAATCAGGCCCCTCTCTGTTTGACCTCCAGTAGTAAACAAAGACAAAACAAGAAATGATTACAAGAGCCACATCTTAATGTTTATTTTCTTTTGGCTCTATCAGGCTGCACAGCTGTGCACCCACCTGGGTTGCCTTCAATATTTTTCTTAACAATGTGACATGTGCTGTAAGTGTTGTATTGGTAGCAGTGAAAGAACTTGTTTTATTTATTAAGAGGGGGGAAAAAACATAGATTTTAGTTTATTCAGATTTATCTTTCTGGAGTTGATTTATATTATTTTGCACCATGAATCATGATAATGCATGGCGGTGGCTGCGTCATGATGGGAAAGGTCAAGCAGTGAGTCTCTGGAATGATTCACTGATGACTATTTTTCATTAGAAAAATAAAATTGTACTCACTTTTAACAATTTTATGCAACAAGAAAAAACAATGGACTAAATTTGTGTACAGTGCATTCATTCAACATTAGAATAAAAACCTAATCCTGCCCATGCCGACATCCAAATTTATTTATCTGAGTTTGTCTTTGCCTTGAAAAGTTACAAACATTGGGAGCATTTGTTTCATTGATAGAGGAATATTTGTCGTAGTGGATATTACTACCAATATTTCAGCAACACCATTTCTGGAGAAATGACCGCCACATTAGAAAAAAATATGTAAAAGGCAATAGTTAACAGTATTATTACTTTCAAAGTAATAGCATACTGGCGATTTTAAGCACTTTAAATTGCCTTGCTGCCGAAAATTTCTTCCTATGTTTGATGATAGAACTTGGGTCAAAAACTCTCTAGATAAGATTGTATGTCAGTACATAGGATTAACTAAACTTCTTCTTTTAAATTAACTGGCTCAGTTACCTGGAAGAAGCTTATCCCACCAATACCAATATTTGTCATCATGGAATGAAAGTAATCACTCAAGACAGTCTTATATTGATTTGTTACTCATCCTTTTGGAGGCAATCCATCACTTACAGGTCATAAAAGTTTTCCTTTCACTTGGCATCCACCTTCAGTGACATATTTCAGTTCTGCTTTGATTTCAAACGTTTTCGACAGCTCAGGTCAAATAGGAGGAAACTGAAGAAATGAATACAGCATAATTCTGTCTTAATTTACAGGTGCACTGGTGTTAAAAGTATAACTGGAGCAAATGGCAAAGATGAGCAAATATAGGAAAAAAAGAAAACTCTAAAAATCAAACTTTAATTTGAGCACATGAAATGAGTCTGGAAAAAACTGACAGAAATAATTGACTTAAGCAAAATCACCAATGATGCAGTTGGAGTTACCCCAGCGATCCCTTCAAAATAAATGCACTAGAAGCATTTTTAAAAATACGCCCTACTTCTTAAACTACACAGTGCACAGAATGTTAAGAGTAAACCTGTTAGAGAAGAGCATCTGTGGGTCATCAAAAGTCCACAACAACTATTTGGCACCGTCTGCATGCTAATTGGTTATTAAGACATTACATAAATGAAGGAAAACAAGTTTTTTTTTTAAAACTCAAATGGGATTTCAACTAAAACTATATGTTCTTTGGTCAGAATTGAGCTCCAAGTGGACCTGGTATAGGAGAAGTGTTGAAAAACCACTCAAACCCATAGTAACTCTGATGGAGGATGTGCGATGCAGTAAGGATGTTTCTCTGCCAAAGTCCATGGCATGAAAGCAACTCTTCAATACAAGAAAATTTTAATCAAAACTTTTTCAGGAAAGCAAAAATAGTTCATCACAAGATCTTCAATACAGAAATGGTTCCCTGTTGACTTAGTATAAAATCAACTTTTTTTTCCCCCCATCACAGTCCACAGGCATAAATCCTGAGGAAAATCTATTTGCTGAGCTGAAGAGAGCAGAGCAAAAAAGACCCAGGACTCTGAATGATCTATAGAGATTGCACAAAGAGAAATAGTCTAGATCTCCCTCTCTCTGATGCTTCCACCTTATGAAATGTTTAAAAAGAAGAGTGAGTTATGTCCTAATGGCAAAGGGGGGGGGGGAGGAAAGGCTGCACAAAGCTTAACTGCAGGAGTAGCAATTATTGCTAGTGCTTTTATTAAAAATCATTATATTACATTCCACAGATTAATTGTTCTCCAGTGAGGTTTGGTTTAACATTTTAGTGTAACTATGTGTTCCTGCAATAACAAGTCATTTATTTTAAGGTTTTTATGGTGAAACCGCCACTTTACGTTGGGCAGCTTAAATTAAATGTGATGCTGTTATTTATTTAGATTCTTTTTCTAACTTATCTCCGTGTGTACCTGTTCCCATTCACCCAGTTTATGTGGAGGACTTATTCTAAGAATCTAATTATAGCGAAAGGTAATTAAGTTAATAGCTCATAGAGGTAGCGTGTTCTCAGAAAAGCGAGATGGATGCCGCGGGTAAGGAGGGATGATGATGGTACACCCTCCGTGTTTGGATTTACCTTTTACAAACACCTATTCTCAAGGAGCGAAAGAGAGAGAGAGAGGAGGAGAAGGAAGTGGAGGAGTAGAAAGAGGAGGGAGAGTTTGCCCCACATCTCCACAGCTAAAACTGCCTCGGTCGCTGTGACAGTCCGAGATGGAGCCGTCTGTGGGCAACAGAGCGCAGCGTTTCCACTCATGGATCCACGCAGGAAAGAAGGATTTTGGTGAAAAGCGAATATAAACTACAAACAGAGTCCGAATTCAACCCCGCTTTCATCCACCATATGGAGTCAAACTTCATATTCAACTATTTTAAAGGTAAGATAGTTTTTTGCCGAACATTGTGTATTGTGTGCGTAAAATGTGTCCCACACGTACAGTGGCCGCTGTAGTTTGCTTTCATTTAAGAAAAAAAGTCTATAGAGTCTAGAGAAACGGTTTCTGATAACATTAATTATATTATAAATTGTGTATTTTATGTAAAATTTATGCATGGAAAAGTTACAAAGCATGCAACAAAAAGAAAACACTGGAATTATTGATCAGAACCATTTATGGCAGTTTCCACCCATATTAACGCGGTTTAAACCTAAATAAACTTTAACTGCAAATATAACAAAAAATATAGCCTGTAACTCATCTAACTTCCTATTAATACTAAAAAAATTACAGATAACATTGAAAACAATTAATTTATAATTTAAATGTCTTTTCTTTTGCTCGTTTCTTTTTCCTGCCCTCCTCATCCCCATTATTTTTCATGCATCATGTGATTTTTTTGCTAATTGGAAATTTGCATACATTAATTCAGTATATCAATGAAAATCATGAGGAGTGCCTGAAATTTCTACCTAATATTACTGGACATACTGGGCTTTTTACTAGTTTAATTTGAGCGTATCAGACAGATCTAGGGCAATCTAAAAAGTCTGAGAGTCCAGCCTTTAAGCATATTCTTTCTATTTCCAGTGGAGACTAGAGACACATGACAGTTTTGATTTTATTATGAAAACACAGGGTGCTTGACATTTAAGAGGGTATTCTTGTAATCAAATTCAAGCAGTCTCTTTTGATTTCTGTCCTATAGAAACATTATTTTCATGAAGGATGCACTTGCCTCAGAAAAACAAAGCAGCTCTGGAAACACCAGATCAAATCGTCAAAAAAATAGCTGCAATGAAAAATGTCTACAGAGATAGACAGACTAAAAAAAACAAATGAAACAAAACAACATGCAAATATGAGGCTTGTTCAATTGGAAATAGTTTAACTCATATTAAATATTTACCATAACCCATAGTGTTTTTGCACATTATATTTGTTTTAAAAATTTTTGCCTTCCAGTTGCATGATTGTTGAGCAGACGGCAACACTAAGACTACAGCAAGAGGATTTTTTCCCACTATTGTCACTTATTGACACTGTGAGATTCATCCAGGATTGATGTTCTTGTCCTTAATAGTCTAACAGGCAATGCTTGGGCTATTGATTGGTTTCTCTCTAGCCTCCATCTCTACAGCGCGTAGCATGCTTAACCCTTGCAGGGTGATTAAGCAGCCCTGGTATCATAGAGACATAAATAGAAGGGTAAATGAGATGAAAATGTATCGATCAGGATAATATGATACCTTTTATTCTGGTTTTGAAGGACAGAACAGAAAGGAGGTAGAGTGGAGTAGAGATAATCGCATTATATGATTTGTGTCCTTCTATTTGAGAAATGCAAAAGGGGTTGCAACCTTATTAGGCCACTTAGGCTATCATTATAGCTGCTTAGGCCGTGATTAAAAGAGGAAACCAATGTAGTTAAATATATTGGTGCATTTTCCAGAAATCTGGTGTTATTACAGGATTAGCCACCATGCAAGATGTTTGTCATGTAAAGAATTAGCTGTATGCATGATTCAGTGCTGTGTTGCGCTATAGAGGCACTTTTGTGTTGGACGGATCTTAAGCTCATTTCATTTCTGTTATGCAAGTTTTTCCTCCTCTATATAATCCTCTGCATGCATTTTTATTGACTGTGTTTCCAGATTTTCTTCTTTACTCGGTTCCCCTTTTTCTTAACCTGTCAGGTTCTCCTGTAGCAGCAGCCTGAGTCTGATTGGGAACTGATGTGTGTCATGGGGATATGGTGAGGCGATGTGCACAAGCTTGTGTGAGAAGAGATGTGGCGCCGTCAGTGGAGGAAGAAGAAGGGGGACAGGTGAAAAGCTGGATCTTTGCTCATGGCTGTGCATGTCACTCTTGTTCTCGACCCTATGGGGTCAAGCAACCCCGCAGTGCCCGGACAGCTGCCACTGTGCCTGGGAAACGGCCACTGTCTTGTGCTCGGACGCAGGGCTGCGTGAAATCCCAGAGGGGATCCCACCAGAAACGGTTTCCTTACACCTGGAGCGCAACTACATCCGGAACATCCCAGAGAGTGCCTTCAGCCACCTGGTCCACCTGCGGGACCTCTATCTGTCCCACAACCGCATCGACTCTCTCTCCTCTGGGGCCCTGCGGCATCTTGGACCCGACCTGCGCTTGCTGGACCTCTCACATAACCAGCTGAGGCAGGCCAGCAGGGAGGAGTTTGGGTCCACTCGTGCCAAGACACGGCTCTACCACAATCCCTGGCACTGTGATTGCACCCTGCAGGAGCTGATGGAGACTCTGAACCTGGAGCCTGAGACGGTGAATGGGATCATCTGCGAGAGCTCCGTGCGGGGCGTGGGTGAGGGGAGCCGGTGGGAGGACCCCGGGTCACCTGGAGAGCACTCAGGTCAGCCGCTGGTCAAGCTGCTGGACTCTGGGGTGAACTTCTGCAGCCTGCAGAGGAAGACCACGGATGTAGCCATGCTTGTGACCATGTTTGTGTGGTTCTTCATGGTCATTGTGTACGTTGTGTACTACGTCCGGCAGAACCAGGCTGAGGCCCGGAGGCATTTGGAGTACCTGAAGAGTCTACCCAGCCCACGTAAGACCCCTACAGAGACAGACACTCTGAGCACGGGTTTCTGATCTGAATGCTGTTGAAGCTTAACGTTCAGATGCCATATTTATGGAACGTGACTGAAACGCTGAGAGAAGTTACTGAAGTTACCAACTATGGAGGAAATGAACCTTTTACAGCTGTTTGATTATTCCTTTAAATTCTTATTCTAAACATTTATTTTCTTATGACGCTTTTGTTTTTCAGTTTTAGTACAAAATTTACATATTTTTCAACTTGAACTATCTGCACTGTTAGAGGAGAGGAAAAGTTATAAAAGCGCAGCAGGTAAAGATAAGACAGGACTACGTATAGAGGAAGACTTTTTGAACTTAATAACATTCTGCCTCCCTTTGTAGCACCTCTTTTCTTCTCCCTCCATGCCTCATACTCTGTGCTTTTATCTTTCATTGGGTTCTAATTAGGAGACATTGACCAGCTGACCCCTAATAAACACTTGAAAGGCACTAATCAGTAGGAGTGTGTTTTTGTCAGTTGTGCAAATTCAGATGTGTGTCCTTTCCATGCTGTTTGAGTCATCTGTATGTGTGTGTGTACGCATACACGTGTGTGTATTTGTGGTGTTTTTAGGCACTGCCACGGCCATTCTTATTTTGAAAGCCCTGATTTTGCACAGATCCTTGCCAGTACTTCAGTTTTAGACAAACACCACACTACTCATCTAAATTTACTCTGGACACACTGGCTTTGTCTTTATGCTGCAGCAAACAGATTGAAAAATCTCAACAGATATAATAATTGGTACAAAGAAATTTTGAGCTGAGTTAGTAAAATGAGTTGCTACATGGAAATTTCTGAGATTTTTTAATTATCTCATGGCTGTGGGCTGTAGAACATCAGCTCTACCAGTCAGAGCTAGCGGTCCCAGTTTACTTGCTACATAAGAAGCCATAGTGAAAACATAAAGTATTATATGGTGTACCATAGCAAAGAAAGCTTAAATTGATTTAATAATTGCTTAAGTAGTCAGAACTAATTTCAACATTTGACTTCACATTCAAATTGTGCTTTCCATTTACTTTTATAATTTTGCATTTAATAAATTATTGAAATATTTGAATAAATATTTGTCATTCGGATTTATTTGTTTCCAGGTTTGTTCTAATATGAATATGTATAAGTATAATTTCATGCTTTATTTGCTTTCTTCATTTTGGAGCTTTTTGTCCTCCATAGTTTACCACATGGGCTCTATCAGAACTGACTCCATTTTTAAAGACTGTGAGAAAATAATCACATCATTTCTTATTAAAAGAAATGAATTAAAAGAGTCATTCATTTTGTTGTATCATATTAGACAATCTGTGTAAATTGATTAATTTATTCTCCAGCTTTCTCCACATATAGAGCTAAATCACACTGGATTAACAGCCACATTTGATTGATTTTCATACTTATTGTATGAAATAAGTATGAAATCCTCAACGGGATTTGTTAGTGTTGTATTAAAATATTAATGCAATTCTTTTCTGCTAAAATAAGAGATCTAAAATAAAACTCCTTTATATTGGCAATTATAAATGTAGAGACATGGTTCAAAATATGCTTTGACATAATGAATAAAATAATCAAAATTATGTTCATTTTATGTTAATTTACACTAAAGTTATACTTCTGCATTAATGTCACAACATCAGATGTTCTTTGCACATTTATTTTAACCAAAAATGAATAAATTGAAGAAAAGAATGATCAACAAGTGTCTTGACATTCAAATTACACCTGAGTAAACATGTTGGGAGATGAATAACAATGGAGTTCATGTAATTGTAGCATTATGTACATTTTTGTTTGTTTTCAGAGCACTACATTTCTTAAAATCAGCGTATTACAGGTTTTGGGTGGATTGAAAAATATCAAAAAGTTTTGAATGAGATGCCAGAAGTCGTGCTTGACTCACCAGAGTTTTCTTCAGCATGAAGAAACACTGTTCTCCCCCCAAGCCCACCTGTTGATGCCAAATGCCACAAAGCTAGCTGAAAGAAACCCAATACATTTTTTTCTTGTTCCCAAAATTAGAAAAAAAAAAAATTGGGATGATGGACAAACAGAAGAGACCTTACCCACAACTTTTCGTAACAATACGAAAAGTTGTGGGTACTGCAGCCTGTAAAACCATACTGTGAAACCATTGTATGGGATAAAATGGTTTCATGTTACAAGAAACATATCAAACAGCTGCAGAAAACTGGGCCCTTTGAATCTGACACCTGAGAATCTCATTCCAACTCATGTCTTGTGTATAATGTCATAACTAGATGTAGCTTACATCATAATAACAATTCTTTGTGTTGCAGAGATAATAGGATGCAACTGAAGCCATACATCTGTTTTATTAAATTATTAAATGTGGAAATTATATTTGCTTTACTTTGGTCAATGTTTCCATAAATTTGAAAAAAAAAAAAATTCTTACTTTGTGAACCTGAAGAATTAATAGGGAATTGAATGGACTGATTTATGCTTAATATGTAAACAATTGTGTAAAAATTCATGACCAGACTGTTAAAACTGTACCTGGATTTCATCAGACAAATGGTACGTTTTTAGGTGCAGAAGCAAAACTTAGAATAGGTCACCTATCTGTGAACTGTGATGTGCTAAATGTGGTGTGCATGTGTTGTAGCCCACAGAGAAAGGCTGGCTGCATTGTGTCTACACTTTGAATTAGAGTCAGTCGTTATCCTGTTGGTAAACCAAAGGCTAAAAGGGAGATGAGGTTGGACAACTCTGACCTTTAAAACACAAGAGAGCAAAAAGTGAGTGGCAATGTGGTTGTTTACTGTTTGTCACAAATCATTTATCTAAATTTCATGCAACATATTTCTGTATTCTTCAATGCACATTTTGTATTGAGTAAACCTTGGACCAATTTTTGCTTGCTGATAATTCTGACAAGCCAAACCTCAAAATCTAAATATGTCTTGTTATAGTCTTTAACTGTGGGATTTCATTTATTGATGTTGTTTTGTTTTAATCATTGCTTTATTTTCCTGACAGCAAATGATTCAAATCACATGCTTTCGTTTTATCTTATTTTGTTTTGTAGCGCTTTTTGTGATAGTCAAATATAAAGGCGTGCTTAATTTGGAAATGGAAGAAAATGATGGATTTTTGACAAAAATTTAAAAGGATGTTGGGTGTTTTTCTACTGAATCAATTTTCAAATTAGATGTAGGTTCAAGTTTTAACTATCACATTAATATGCTTAAATCTAAACCACCTCAGTTTGGCCCTGGTTTGGCTGTTATCCTAGTGAAAATGTAACGTAATGTGTCTCAAGTTTTTTGCAGCCTTCAACAACCTTTCTTTCAGGGTCGCCTTGTATTTGGGCCTTTTCATCTCCCTCTCACCTCTAAGCAGTTTCCCTCCCCTGCTCAAGAAAAACATCCACATAGCATGATGGTTCCATCACCATGTGTTGCTGTGGGGGAGGTGGGGTGATGTTAAATTTTACACACATAGCACTCAATTTTGCTCTCATCTCATCTGGACCAACTTCTTGCACATGTTTTTTGTGTACACAGCTTGAGGCAAATTGAATTGAGACTTCTTTGACTACTTTTTCATGAAGGGTAGATATGACATAACTCACCTGAGTGGTATCTATTAGCTGTTTCTTCAGGCTCTTGGCTATTTAACTTAGTGTGCTTTTGGACATCATGATGCTATTAATCGGTGGCATCTGAAGGCTTTTGATGTTAGAGTACTGTATTTAGAGATATCAGATATATAAAAAAAAAACACTGTATATAACCATCCTGCAATGAAACATGGTCAATGCAGTATCATGCTATGATGGAATGAAATAAATGAGGATAGACAAAAGATGGATGGTTGGATGTATTTACTAGTTACTCATAATCTATAATAACCCTGATCATAATCACATGATTATAAAATCATTATGGAACAAATTATAGAAACTAGACACAAAATAAACAAACAAACAAAAAAACACTTACATTAGAAACATTTTAAACTACTTTGAATAATTAACTGAGCACAATGTACTGTTTCATAACTGGGGCCAATTGTGTGATTGAACTGACATGATTTTTGTTTTGGTAAGACATTTGTTGTGAATTGATGCCATATAAATTAATCAAACTGATTTGAATTACTAAAATAACAGAGTATTATCAGCTGATTAACTATGGAGGAATTTCCTCATAATTAAAGATCTAATATTATCAAACATATCTCCCTCTAACACACATGGAGAGAGATTCTGGGAAGCATAAGTTGGATTTTAAGATGCCTGATTTAAGTTGAATGGATGCTTTAAAGAAGATAAAAAAAAAAAAAGGAAAAATAAACAAAAAAAAATTTACATCCTAAAAGCTGCAAAAAACTTGAGACAAATTTTTATTAATGAAGAAAAAAATAGAAGTTAGTTTTATAATTTTTATAACTGAAAAGAAAAGCCTTTCCTGAGTTTAAGCAATAAAACGGTTCTTGTAACTACTGACAGCTCTTTTCATGTTTACCTTGTTTTTTTTCCCCATTAATTATTTTTGCAATACATTCCAAAGATTGATTTTAGAAGATATCAGTGCCATCACCCTAAAGTTTAGCTTTTGGAACAAATTTTTTATCAGATTTAAAACAGTATTACTTCCACTCAGAAGAACATGTTAATCGATTGAAATGATTACCATTTCACTAAATATTCCTGGGGTGTGAATATTTTTTGATGTACATTAACAAGAAATTCAATAAAACTCGACTTCAGTCTGTTACTTGGTTTTTGTCGTTTATTTCCAATTTACATTAATTAAAACTTAACAAAAACAAGTCATAATCATAGTAATAAAATAATAATAATAATGCTATTATTATTAATAATATTTCTATTATTAATAATAAAAAATATACACAACCTCACACATTTGAACCCTCTGTGCACTCAGTGTGTGTGTGTGTGTGTGTGTTTTTACATGGAAGCAGAGGGTGTGTGGTGTGTGAGGGGCAGGAAGGGACGCAGGATGAAGGGCAGCATATTGAGATTATGTAACCAAATATACCTATGTCAATTTGAAAAGATATTTGTAAATTGTAAGTTTAGATAATGGTTTTTTTTCCTGTGAGGTAGTTTTAAAAAGCCAAATCAAATGTTTGAAAAATAAAAATAAATTTGTCCCAAACTAAACTGATTACAAAACGTTATCAGTCATGTCTGTTCATGTAAGAAGGGTCATAAATTACAGTGAAATCCAAAAACCCAGAACAAAATGGTCTCTAAGGAATGCTCTCTCTCTCTTTCTCTTTCTCTCTCTCTACAAGTATAGAGTCACTATATTGGAGTATCAGGTTGCTTAAAAACACAAAACTTTTACAACAATAACACCGTTGACTTTATTATAGTACACAATAATTGTGATACACACTATGGTTGGAGAAACAGGAACAACTGGATATTCTATGGTATGCGGAAATGTTTTTGGTTTCAAAGAACAATAAATTCTTTATTGGTTTGTTACAAGATGATGGGATGATCATAAAACAGGAGGAAGTTGGTGGATGAGGCTTCTTTTTCTTTAATATATATATTTTTTATCACTTTGCAACAAACTCAGTCCTACCACACCTGGGCGTCTAACCTAAACAATAAATAAATAACACCAACACATTGTTCTCTCTTGTTCCCTGGTAAGCTCCTATTCTCTCCTCATATTTCCTCCATTTTGTTCATAGATATTGGGCATGTGGGGGTTGCTGTTCACAGAATGAAGAAGGGAGGGTTTAGGGAGTGGAGGGTGTCCTGGGGGGGATGGGGCAGAGATGACTGAAGGCAATGCTGCGGATGGATCACAAATGACAGTTTCTTGATGCCATTCAGTGCAGATTTCCTACCGAGTTCAACTTGGAAAAGCACTTTTTTATTTAGAAAACAAGTCCCATGTTTTAAAAAAGTGTCTTGATCCTTTTCACCAAAGCGTGCTCCTCTTTTGTTTCCTTTTTTTTTTTTTTTCAAACAGCCACTTTTTCTTCCTCTTCTTGACAGCTGCTCATTCTTTACAAGAAGCAAACTGGCCCAATGTCAACTCCAAACTCCTGGTCTGCACCACCAATATCCATGGGGGCAATGTCCACGATGGGCAGACGGGAGGTCTTCTGCGACCTGTATTCGAACACTGTCTTACCCCACTGTCCTGTGTGTCTCTGCAGGAGGGAAAAAAATTATACAATTATACAATTATAAATGTTTGCTTTCTATGGGGCAAACATTTGGTTTGCCCCATAGAAAGTACAAATATTGTACTAGCAGGACTGCATACCAAGCAGCCGTCTTCCATGACGCTGTAGGTGAAGCGGCTGTTGCCCTCGGCTCTGATCTCCACATCGTTGGAGCCTTGCAGCAGGACGGCCTTCTTCAGGTTGCTTGTTGAAGCATCCATGTAGGCCACGCTGTTCTTACAGTGGTAAGTGAGATTTTGGGAAGCCTCTGTCGACAGCAACCTCAGGAAAGTCATCTGAATGGAGGCAGTGTTGGGTGCCAGGCTGTCGTCACCATAACTGAACTGCATTGAACAGACAATAACACATCAGGTTATGTTCCTGGTGATTCATTGAGTGTTTTTAAATAAGCTAATGCTTTGAATGTTTGATTCCATGTATTCCAAATCTAAAAATTTATCGAATTTGTCACACAAATATTTTATTTATATTTAAAAGGAAGATTCCTATTCTATTTAGAGTCCGGTAGTGACCTTAAATTGTCATGTTTGATTTGAAGCTGTTTTGTATAATGTGAGTGTCCTGGGATGAAGCATTACCTTTTTAAAAATTCACCATGAAAAAGTTGCCTTTGAGTTTTAAGCCTTGCACAAACTAGAAATAGCTAAATAATGTAATCGAGTTTCTATTTGAAAAGCGTAAAGTCATATTGAAACCATGTATTTTTTTATGAAATGTTTGTCATATTGTGTGGTATATAATTCATTGTAAAGCACACTGGTATTTTTGTCTGGTAAAAAGTAAACAACACAAACACATAACTCTTTCATAGTCTGGACACAAGAGGTTGAACATCTCCTGCCCTGATTGCAGCTGGGAGGCATTCATGTGTGAAGACTTTGATGTCTGTAAGTGCTTTGGGGCCCACTAGATCACCCACTGCTCCTTGAGTAAGAATGAGACAGGCTTTCATGCTAGGCTCTCCAAAAGTTGTGACTAACATCAGAAAAATTTGCCAAATTTGCTGCTTGGCACTTCTCAAGAAGGGTCAGACGAGTCAATTAATAAAGCAACAAAGTTTCCAAGTTTGCTCTTTCAGTAAGAAAGTAAAGTTTATTTAGGAAGCGCTTTTCAATGATTTCAATGTTTGAGAACTGTTTTCTTTTTCATTTTATTTTTATATTGAGAAAATGTGTGTGAGTGAATGTTCAGGATAATTAATAGTTAATAGCAATAGTTAATGCCATTTTATTAATATTGTCTATGTCTTGTTTTGATCTGTTTTAGTGCAATACCATATTTTAGTCTTATTAATTGTACTTTATCAATGAAATGGAGTTGGAGTCACACTTATGTATGTTTTGTAGCAGTGGAGAATGTATACTTGTAAAGCAAAAAAAATTTTTTTACTTGTCGCTTGAATCATTTTATTTAACCTAAGCCTGTTTGAAAGATATTTTCCCTTTAAGTTTGACTTTCTAAATATCAATTCTGAACGTTTTGCCATGCAAAGCATTCATTTGTGCCATAAAGTAAACAGTACATATTACTATTTTACAAGCTAATAAAACTAAAACAGGTTGCAGATCTTACATGGAATCCTCCGTTCATTGTGTCTCCGAACCACACATGTTTGCGTTCTTTGCTCTTGCTGGACCACCAGTTCTTGCGAGGGATCTTGGCAGGTTTGGGGTTCACACAGGACTCCCCGGTTTCCATGTTGCAGAAAACTTTGATTGCATCTACAGTGCAGCCTTGATTTGGATCAATCCAGTACTCACCTACACAAAAACAGAGAAAAAAGCAACAGCCTTCAGGGTGACATCATTCTTTCTGCACAGCTTGAATGCCTTGTATATTTTTGCATAGTCTTGTAAAAACGGACTCTAAATCAGCACAAGGCAAATATTTTTCAGAGTAAACAAGATTTCAGTCAAATCCTTATTTTTCAAAACATTTATTTCCCCAGACTAGACCCAATCTGCATCATTATATCACCCCAATTCAGCCAATTTCTTGCGTTGTCACTCACCGCTCTTCCAGTCGGGGTGGCAGAGCTTCAGGTCTCTGCAGGTGCGGGCAGGATTCTTCTTGGATCCCTCTGGGCTGCGGATGTTCTCAATCTGGTTGTTGAGGGACTTGAGAGTGGCATCGACCTCTGCGTCATGTTGACGGAGATTCCCAGCAGCCTGGTCTGCTCTCATGTACCTCAGGGGGTCGGGAGACTTTTCTGTTTGACCCAGACCAGCGAAGGCAGACATGTCAATACCAGGACCGGGGGGACCAGGAAGTCCAGGGGGTCCAGGGTTTCCAGGAGGACCCTGAAAGAAAATTCAAAAAGTAAGAAGACATTTTATTTTACATCAGCAATTGTAGATTTTCTGTATCCTTGTGTTTTTCATTCACTTGATTATTCTTCATTCTCTTGAAAAAGACATGTACATGTAATTTTACACAATTTTCTGAAGAGGGCTTTTGCAAAGGTACAATTTTGAATAATAACTTCTACTGAATGCCAGGGTAAACAAACAGTACATGAAAAACAAGCACATCACAAAGTCTTTTCTCAATTCTCGATCCTCTTGAGTAATTATTTGGTCTTCCCTCTTGGAATGAGCAATGCAAGCAACATATTTAGTTGCTTCAATCTCCATTATTCTTCCTCATATGGGCTGTCTTAATAGTTAAATGATCTTTATTTCTCTTTCATTTTATTTCATGTAGAAAGAAAATGGAGAAAAAATAATGAATTGGGAAAACACATCTGTAACTTCTCCTGACTTGTCTGCTGTGTTTTTGGTTGCTTGTTCACTAAATGTTCTCCAACTAATCTCTGAGGCCTTCAGAGGACAGCAGGATTTTTCTCAGTTTAAACCCAGATGAACTCTACTTTCTTGTTAGGTTTAAATTCTGCACAGTACTGGGATTCATTTAGCGGTTTCAGAGTGAAGGAGGTTGAACAGAAAAAACAGATGCTAAAGAATGGAAGAAAACCAAAATGGTGAAATAAAGAATGCTGCAGAACAGAGGCGAAGCTGCGTAAATCATACTCTGTTCTCCTTGTATGCAATCTCAACCGTCTTTATGTAAAGGTTTTCATATCACGCACTGCACATTTACTTGCAGAAAGATTCAAAGTAAAAATCCTATTTCCATACAGTAGCACCAATACGTGCTACTTTGTGTTTAACTATCACATAAAATCCCAATAAAATACTTTGAAGTTTGTGGCTGAAAGTTCAAGAGGTGATGACACCTTTCACAAGAGTTGTGTGCAATAATTTCAACTGAACTAAAACAGCTAGCAGCATTTACAGCATCATTAAGGCTCATGAAGCTGCGCGGAGAAAGCTTCACTCTTTAGGCTGTTATTTATTCATGTTTATGTTGCCCATATCGCTGTCTTGGATAAGAAGTTGATATATACATCTATTTACCAAGATAATTAAGCATAAGATGCCATATATTTTATTCTGTAGAAGCTAGTTAGGAAAGTAAAACATGCTAAAAACAAACAATAAAAGGGGAGGTGATGTAGTACTCACTGCGGGACCAGAGTCTC